AATATGATAAATAAAATACTTAAGTTTGGGGTTAGGTCCTAATAACAATTCCTTCCCAATGCCCAAAGCTTTTCATTGATAAGATTAATCCTATAATGCAGACTTTTCTATTTGATTTATAAACATAATTTCCGTTTTCACTTTTTAAGGATTTTAAGGTTAAGATACACTTTTCCAAAAAAATTTCATAGTATGATAGTTAATTTTTAGTTAGTGGGGTTTTATACCCTTTAGCAAGTATGTTACGTGTGTTTAAAAAGTCAAACATTCTAGAAAAATATTATTAATAATATTAATTGATCTTATTACTGATCATTCATTTGAATAAAGTCTACGGTGCTCTCACAATTTTCAAATCCATCAATTTTTAGCTCCTGTACTAAAAGAATAGCTTTTGCAACTGAGGTATTAAAAACTTGAACAGCAAGTTTAACCTTTAAAAAAATATATAAGTATTGTTTTTTTTAATTGTACTTTCATTTTTTGCTTGTGATAGTCTATATGAGATTGATGAATTTTATTAGCAGCACTTAGTCCTTCCTTATCCTACAAATCATGAAGATTTGTTATATATTTCCAATTTATTATCTATTTATTTATAATATTAAATATTTTAATAGTAATTTAATTACTGATCCATTATTAATTAAAATTTTTTGGTCACCCAAAAGATTTCTTAGCAGCTTAATCATATGACATACATCCAATATTATGTATACTTTTTCATCACAATTGCTCGGGAGAATAAAATAAGGAACACAGTGATCAGGATCTAAAGATGCCCCAAGTAGTTGGCGGCATTTTTATATTTACTGACAGACCATCACAAACTATAGCTTTACAGATGGTGCTAGTGTCATGTAGTAAATGTAGTGCATTAGTCACTATATTTGCAAACAAGTCTGAAGTAACATTTGATACTAAAAAGTATCCTATTGGAATTTTCCATGTTCCATTAAGACATGTCGCCATAAGAAAAAGGGCTTGTCTAGCCTCAGGAAGAGATTCTGATGGCTTTATTCCATTGCCTAAATCGACATATCCATGGTACTCCTTTTTATCCCAATGTTTATGATGATGAATAGACATCTCATCAAGGCTTAATATAGTGTATAATTGGACTTTTGATTCTGATTGAAAACTTTTAATCTTATCGAAGGAAGCAACAAAAAAACCTAAAATCAAATTATTATAATTATTATTTATAAAGATAAACCTGGCCTTATATTAATTTGTCGGCTACAAGTTCTCAGTGTTGATTCTGAAGGTAAGAGAATTGATCACTCAGGTATTTATAAGCTTTTGGGGAATAAAAATGAACAGTTGATGCAAATTGTTTCATTTCTGAGGTATATTTTATTCTCCGTTGATTTTTTATGCCTCCACTGCGTAATTGAGTTTTAACAAAGGTTAAAGGAATGCCTGTAAAAAAAATTTCTAATACATCCTCTCCTTCACCATATATCAAATTTTTAATCTTTAATGGTTTTATAATGGATTTTAAAATAATTTTCCGATTTTTTCTAGTTTCCCTTATATATGAGGCCCTCATTTTTTTTCTTAATTTTTGAATATATATATATATCTTGGTATTTAACCTTCCTTGATAAAACTGTTAAATTGGCTATGTATATATGATCATTGTGATAATTAGAAAATATAGGATCAATCTTATATCTTAGATCTGCATTCTTCTTTAAAAATAAATATTGTTAATTTATAATAAATATTAATATATAGAAACAATAAATCACAGAATAACAAATAAGGCTTACATGGCTAAATGACTCTTCCAAATTTCCAACTTCAAGATTATTTAGGGGGTCAATTGTTTTTGGGAAATATTTTCTCTTAAAAAACTATATAATATAAATATTGTTATTTTATATAATATAAATATTAAAATATAGAAAAACAATAAATCACAAAGTAACAAATAAAGCTTACATGGCTAACTGGCTCCTCCAAATTTCCAACTTTAAGATTATTTAGGGTATCAATTGTTTTTGGGAAATATTTTCTCTTAAAAAATTATTTTATATAATATAAATATTGTTATTTTATAATAAATATTAAAATATAGAAAAACAATAAATCACAGAGTAACAAATAGCCTTACATAGGTAACTGGCTCCTCCAAATTTCCAACTTCAAGATTATTAAGGGTATCTATTGTTTTTGGAAAATATTTTCTCTTAAAAAAATATATTATATAATGATATTATTATTTTATAAAGTAATAATGTTTAACCTTTTTGGTTAAGGAATAGTTATTAGCAGCATAGGTGTGATCATTGTTTTTTATAGAGTTTGAAATTGTAAATATATTATAACTCAGAATATTTGTAATCTTTGAAAAATATTTTAAAATAAATAAATATATAAATAAAATATCAGCTTGGAAATAATAATATTAGGTATTTGAATATATGGGGGAGGTGGGTGCTTATAGAGAATATATAACATTATTGTAAAAAATGATATCTTTTATTTATTAAAATACTCAATTATAAAGGGAATCATAGTTTACATGGACTTAATCCTCTATGTTTCCCCTCATAACTATATTGCATGAGTTAGGAACATAAAATATTTATATTATAATCATACATCCTGAAGAGGAATGGGTTTATTGAAAATGGTAGGTATAGATCTCCTTTAAACTTCTAATCCCTGTAACATATGGAATAAAGCAATCACTGGTGAAATGTTCACCACATATTTTCGAATATTTGGTGTTTAAAATTTTTTCTATTGATTGTTAACCATTTAGAATAAGATAGGATTCTTTAGAGGGAATCTGGATATAAATTTAATATTAAAATATTCTTTATACATAATAAATAATATGATTAAAATCTACCTATGAAAGGATTTTTTATTATTATTAATAGATTTTGAATTGCATGAAATTGCACAACAATAGCTCATAGTCTACTTCCATAAAAGTAAAAAAAATATTTATCATTCATAAATTATTAAAATACTTTTTAAGAAAATATTAATGTTAAAATATCTTCAATAAAATAATTATGGTATAGGTTACCAAAATGGCGGGTCCAGCTGATTTGCTTTTAACGACGCTTAAAAATGCATTTTAATGAATGAATCGTCAGTCTAAGTATTATATGTCATTGATAGACTGACAATTCATTCTTAAAAAGCATGTATCAATGAAATCAGCTGTAGACGCCATTAACAACATGTTGAATACATCGATGATAATTTGTCTTACTACCAATTCTTAATATAAGTAATACTATGGTTATATTTTATAATAATAATTATTTAATTACTATTACAATATCGGAAAGGGTAAGTTCCACTCATTTAGTTAAACTACAACTGGGTACAAAGTTTGTTGGTATCCTTGACAAAAAAAATCGGCGTTCGCTGGGCAGGTCTATGCCCAACGTACTAGATAAGATAAGAGATAATAATTATTTTATCCTTGGCTGCATTCATAGTGGAGACGGATCCGATTTTTACATCCGTTCCGTCAAAAGTCAATCTCATTAAAAATGATATATACGTTCATAGTGCGTCCGTTCCGATACCTTCCGTCTTGAAAACGGATCCGGCAAATTTTGAAGTCAAAACATTTTGACTTTTTGATCCGGCAAATTTTATAAAGCGTTATAACGTTACTTATAATTTTTTTATAGTTATAAATTATGGATAAATCTAGGTTTACAATTTGGTGAATCAGGTATTAAAACTTTATAAATATAACATAGAATTTTTTAAATAGTTAGGTGATGAGTTAAATTTTACTCTTCCATTTGTCTTCTCTATTTGTAACATACCTTGTTAAAAAACTAAGCTTATTTATCATAACTAAGTAGAATTTTATTTTAATTCTAATATTCAAACATCATAATACATATATACATTAAACTAATAGAATTTTTTGAATTAATTATAATAGCATTTTATCATAACTATCCATTTATCTTCTCTTTTACTCTACCTTGTTAAAAATAACTAAATATAATTTTTTATTTCTAATAATTTAGCTTGTTCATGTTAAAAATGAAAATTAATGTGTTAGATTTAATTGAAGCTGTAAGAGGATCTAAATTTATATATGATAAATTTGATGAAAGTTACAAGGATTCACGCAAAAAATCAGAATTTTGGATAAATTTAGACCTACAATTTGGTGAATCAGGTATTAAAACTTTATAAATATAACATAAATTTTTTTGAATATATTTTATTAATTAAATTGAACACTTTCAATAATTATATATATATTTAGAATTGATCAAACAATATGATCATTCATTACCTCTGTTTTATATTTTTTAGGTGATGAGTTAAATTTATTGTATTAATATATCTCATCTAAGTATTAAGATAAAAAGATTAAGCTTACTATTTAATTCTTAAATTTGGTATTACAATGTTAATCAATATCTTTGAAAAATTATTTAGGAGCAAACTTAATTTTTTAAATTAAATTAAATACTATCAATAATTGAGCAAACAATATGATCATTCATTACCTCTGTTTTATATTTTTAGGTGATTTTGCTAAATTTATAGATGAAGAATTGTCATCTTTACCACAGGATCACAAAGATAAAGTGAAAATGAACATTATTCAAATGATTTTTTTATATAAAAGTCAATTAAAAAAATAAATTATATATTTTTTAATATTTATATTTTTAAATAAATATATTATAATTGTTAAACATATTATAATTTTTTTATTACAAAATAATAAATATTTGCTTTGTGCTTTTTAAACTTAGCCTGACCTATAATTATATCATTTTAAGTACCATATCAGGAAAGGTCTGATAAAAATAAATTTGATTAGTCAAGGCTTACTAAGTAGGCAAGATATTTACACTCAGGATCCTTTTCTTATATAAGCTTCTTTAAAAAATGTCACATTCAAAAATCAGTAGTAATACAGACCTCAGTATCAATTTCTAATAAATCTTATTACCCATTCACCAAGTATTTAAATTTAATAAAATAGCTGATAATATTTATTTACATGTATAAATTTTTTTTAAGAATATATTAAACAAAAACATGGGAAATTGGTACAAAATAATTATTTTATGAACAAGTTCTTGTATTTTTATAAAAAGAAAATATATACCAAAAAAATATAAAGAAATTTAATACATATAAAATCAAAATATTGAAAAAATAAATATTAATTTAATATATTAGTTTGCCAGGGCAAATGTCTATTATTAAAATAATTGCTAAATAAGTTTCTTATATTTTTATTTTTATCAGAACTATTTTTAATACTCTGTTGGTTCCATAAAGGATAATTTGAACCAACAAGATCAAAACTTATTATATTTAAATTTTCTTTCATTTTGGCTTCCATAAGTGCCAACATCTATAACCATAAATTTGCCATTATGATCCACCAATGCTTGAAGGATTATTGAAAATCCATGCTTGTAATTATAAAATTGGGTTCCAGAATATGGAGACTTTTTTGTTTTATAATGTTTCCCATCAATGGCACCTTATAAAATATTAAAATAATAATATAGTATGAAATAATAAAATAAAAAATATAATTATCTTTTGTTTGATATAAATAAAATTTAAACCTATACAGTTTGGGAAGTTCCACCTTTCATCAAAGCCCTTAGCAACTTCCTCAAACATCTCCAATGTTGGGACCTTCATATGGATGGGTTGAATAATATCCCATATAGCTTTTGTATTTTCTCCTATTATTAGTTTTATAGTTGATACCCCAAGTTTATGAGAATATGACAAGGTGACATATGAATTACCAGTTGCTAGGTATCTAGATCAAATGAAGTATCAAGAAATTAGCATAAAAATGATTTTTAAATGCCTAATTATTATAATTAACTCATTATTAAATGTTATATTAATTATTGTAAATATTCATTCTTATTATATGTAATATTAGGGTTATATCTCAATATTAATTATAAAATTAATTTAATATATATATATATAATAAACTAATTTTAATAAATTTATATAGTTTTCTTTTTTGTAATTTTATTTTTAATAAGATCTATTTTTTAAAGTGAAAATACTATATATACAAATATACTCACTTTTTTCATACGCATGTAATTATAAAACTTGAGGTCATTTATAAGTAATTTTGGCAGCAAAGTAAAATATGCTTCCTCCTTTTCGAATTAACTATATTTTTTTCTTTCTTGAATAAGAGATCATATATCATATATAATTTAAATAAAGAATATTGGTTCATTTTAAAAAATAAAATAATGTCTAATCTGTTTTAAGTTGAAACGTTAAAAAAAAATCACTATGAAAGCCTTGTCGGACGCCGTCAAATCAGATGTTTTGACGTGAAATCGGATCCGTCTCCACTATGAAAGCAGCCTCTTAATATCATGAGTCAATAATTAATTTTTATTTTATATTTAATTAGCTACTGATACAATTTTATTAATCAAACATTATATTTTATTAAAAGCATTTATTTTTATTTTCTCAATTATTAATATTTACATTAATTATAATAATATAGTCATATCTTTTAAAATAAGTTTTAGTATTTATTTATAAATACATTTATATCAATTTTTAATAAATTATGGGAAAAATTTATATACTTAATTTTATAATAAAATATATTCAATTCTTGTACATTTTTATATTTAGGTTATGATTTTGTAAGAAATACATATGAGAATATGATAAAATAAGTAAATACCAATATGGACACAAAATAATAAAAGCCATATTAAAAAATAACCAAAAATATTACAAACAAGGAATGATAAAAACAATAAATAAAATAAAACTAATTGGAAAAATAAATATCAAGAGATAAGATTATATATGGGAATAGGATATCCTAATAAAAGTAAAAATATTTTAAACATTCTCAATAACTGGGATGGGGTTGCTAAATTAAGGTTTAATAGTTAATAAGATCTAATGATTAAAATTTTAAATTCATAAGTATTTTATTTCTTTAATTATAATATATTATGAATAATATAAAAATCATTTTAATCATAAAAATTAATAACTCTTAGTAACTTTATTAGATAATGTATAATTTTTATCAAAATATACAAGATTTATTAATATAACTAATAATAATTGATAGGATATTTTTGAGTTCATTGCATTATTTTTATATGAATTTCTTTCTGATAAATAAATAAGAATATGTTGCGATAGGAATAAAGCTTTGCTGGCTCAGATAGAGATTTAGAAGGTTTTATTCCATTACCAAAATCTATATATCCATGAAACTCTTTTTTATACCAATGAATTAGTCACTGAATGGACATTTCATCAAGGCTTAAAATAGTAAATAATTGTACATGTGTTGATTGAATTGTTAATCCTTTTGAAAGAGGAATCTAAAAAACTAAAATAAAATTATTTTAAAGTTATAAAAATAAATTATTTCTAACCTGGCCTTATTTGTATTTGCTGACTCCAAATACTTAAGAATTACAAAACATCCTACTAGGCAAAATTTTAAAACAAATTAAAATGATCCAAGCCATGCAAAGCAAAATTATAATAAACTGGGCCAGGCTGGACAGTTCATAAGTAAATAAAACTCTTAATTTCATGAGTTTTTATAAAATATTTAATTTATATGTAACCTAAAAAATTGTGACAGTTGTTAATCTTATATGGAATCTTCAGTTTAGATATATATGATTGCATAAAGTAAATAAGATTGCTAATAAACTTGAATAAAAATTGCTGATATTGCTAACCTGCATATTACAAATAAAAAGCTTAAACTTATTTTAGTAGATATGACTATATTATTATAATTAATGTAAATATTAATAATTTAGAAAATAAAAATAAATGCTTTTGATAAAATATAATGTTTGATTAATAAAATTGTATCAGTAGCATATTAAATATAAAATAAAAATTAATAATGGACTCATGATATTAAGAACTGACTAGGTAAAATAATATAAATATAACCATAGCATTACTTATATTAAGAATTAGTTGGAAGACAAATGATCATCGATGTATTCAACATGGTGTTAATGGCGTCTCCAGATGATTTCAATTGATACATGCTTAAAAATGGATTTTAATGAATGAATTGTCAGTCTAAGTATTATTATATGTCATTGCTTTAAACTGAACCCGAACCGAACCCTTGCAAAAATTTCACCGGGTTCGCATCCCTGCTTATAGGGTTTGCATTTATACGCTATTAATTAAAAAAATTTAAAGCAATATTTACAAAATGGCCCATATTTTACGCAGTAAAGAATATTTGATGATTTTTTCACATGTCCAGTGGCAAATTTAATATTAAATTATTAAATTTTCAAAATGACTGGCAATTTTTTACTTTTGTTTATTAACTCATATTTTTTCAATAATCATATGTCGATGGCGCTATATATAATTTTATGCATTAAATGTAATGCTTTATACTAACCTAAAAAGTCAACTCTTTTATAAAAAAAAAAGTAACCGCGCTCCTGTTTAAAACAATTAATGAGTTAGAGCTAGGACATTACTTTTTTGTTAATGTAAAAACAAATTTTTAAATCAAATTATATGTGCATTATTACATTCCGTTCCGCTGTTATATTTTATCAGTCGATCCGATGTCATTCATTATTTGAACAGTGATATTTATAAAATTCTAAAAATTATTTTGATGAAATTCACAAAAAATAGTTGGCTGTTCGAGGAATATTTGTTAATTTTAAAAAAAATCCAAATTATAAGCTTAGCATTTTCTTTAGAAGGTGCATTTTCCATGATTTACACATTATTAAAAAATTTTATTATGTGTAAATTTATGTCTAAAAGGTTATGTTTTAAATAACAAATGCATCTAATACACTAATATTAAGGTGTTTTATCTGATTTGATTATAAATATTTTCGCATCTTGCGAGTTTACAACATAATTGCTGTTTAAATTTGTATCCAAAATCCGACATTAAGATACATACTTAATAATATATATGTAGAGTAGATTGATTTAATAAAGAAAAAATAAATATGATCTTTTAATGTTAAACAAAATGTTATTGTTATATTTGCTGAGTTATGCAAAATGTTGCACCATTACCTTTTTGAGGAATTTTTCTTGTAGAAGTTGCAACAGACGTATTTTCAGCCTAGTTGCTTACAGACAGATAAAAAATTTAAACATTGGTTTAAGAAGGTTGAAAATATTTTATAAAAATAGGTAGGTGCATATTTTATAAGTTTAAGTAAAAATATATCAAAAAGCAATAAATAAAAAGCCAAACCAAACGAACCAATCAAATAATTTTAGGGCGTGCTAAACAAATTTTTAGAAAGATAAGATAGGGGGAAAGTGAGATTTTTTTTTATAAAATCAAGGGTGGAGGGGTTAATTCATGGATAGGAATGTGTTCGGGGGAAAAATCTGCCCATTGCAGACCTTTAGTTTATTGTACTAGATAAAAGTTATTTTTTTGTTTAGAAACATTTTGATATATTAATATAATTGCTTTAAAAGTTATAACATTGTATTGTTCTTGTTGATGACATAAACCTTTACTTTTTTTGTTATTTCTTTTATATTGCTTAACCTAAAATTAACTCTTTTTTGTTTTTCCTTTATATTGCATAACCTAAAATAATTTTTTACTTTTTTTTTAAATATTAGCATAACTTAAATTGAATTAATTTTTTTTTGTTATTTCTTTTATATTTGCGTAACTTATTGAATTTAATAATCGACTTTTTGTTTTTTGCTCTGATATTAACATTTGATATAAATATATTTATTTTTAAGATTGTAAGACACTTTTTTTGCTATGCTTTTTAGTTTTTACTGTTCTTTTAATGTGATATTTTTTTAATAATGTGATAAAAAAATATTTTAATATAAATTTAAAAATGAAAGAATTATATTTTTCGAATCTAAAACAAAGATAGATTTATATAACCCATCCTGGTACTCCCAAAAAATTGGGTTTAAAAGATATTTAAAAAAATTTATTTTGATAATGATAATATTGTAACGTGTAAAAGTGATTACCGTGAGATTTTGAAATCTCACACCATCAAAATCTCACGGCAAATACCGCGTGAAAGTGATTTCATGAGATTTTGATTTTTATCGTTTCAAATACATTGGGGGCCATTTAAATATTCAAAATCTCACGGCTATTCAATATTTCAAAATCTCGCATTATGATTTTCAATATGCTTAATACCTTAAATTGTTTCAACTTTAAAACGTCAGATTAGAACGAAGCTGTCAAATTGGAAAAGTTTCTATATAATACAATTTAATTTGAAATTCTTTTTTAGTATATTTCCTGCATTATGAAGGAAATTTAATAAAATATTTTTTATTTAAAATTATTTTAGCAATAATTTTAAAGATATATATGACTTCTATAAATGTTCTAAAGTTCCAATGATTGTTAATAAGTCAAACTTTATTAGGAAATGCAATTCCTTCAAAATTATAGATGATAATTTATTTTATACTATAAGCTAAAGTAAATTTTAGATATCTTTTTATAATTTTTCCTAAAATATACATAAATTATTATATTTGAGTTATATAATAAAATTGTAATAGAAATAATATAATATTTTTTAAAAGTAGGAATAGTAATATTTTTATTAATAACTATAGGGTTTTCATTTTCTTTGTTGGCATTATCTTTATCTAGCTATTATTAAATAATAAATATCAAATAATAGTAATATAATGTACAGAAATTTTCACAAAGATTTTATTTTATACTCTCATTAAAAAGCATATTTAAGCCATTGATTGTGTTTATTTTTTGTCCATCACATAATATTATTTTATATATATTTTAATGATATATCATTTTAGAAGAAAGAAAAGTTTTATGGACAAGAGATGAACAAAAAAGTATAATTAAAACAATACACGAGGGAGGTATATCCACAGTTCCAAGTATAGCTATGGGAGGGAATCTGGGGATTAATAAAACTAATCAGGTAATAACCGAAAAGTAAATATATGCGATATTATCTTATTTAATTTTTTACAGCTTTTATTGGTTGGGCAGCAATAAAGATATTAGAGAGTTTATCAAATCCTGTGAGGTTTGTCAAAAATCAAGCAGTCGTTTTGATAAAACTTCATATGTTCTTCACAATATTAAAGTGGTTCCAAAATCTTGGTATCAAATTGGCATTGATTTAATCCAGATGCCAGAATCTAAAGAAATTTATAAATATATTTTATGTGCCATATGCTAATTCTCTAAATATTTAATGGCTATTCCTATTAAGTATAAAACAGCTAAATCTATTGTAGAGCCTTATACATCATTGTCTACACTCACCAATGTTATGAAGTAATAAAATTAAAAATACCAATTTTAACTTATTTGAATTTTATTAATCTATTAATTCATATTTTTTTTAAATTTAATAAAACTAAAATATATATTTATTAAAGATTCAGATTAATGATCAAGGTAGGGAATTCTGTAACAATTTTTGTACAGAATTCCATAAATATTGTGGAATTGTTTAGAGAATAACCTTAGCCTACCACCCGCAAGCAAATGTTTGGTTGCGAGAGTTAACAGAACAATCCAGAACCCAATAAAATCGGTTTTGGGTATCCCAACTGACTGGCCAGATGCTTTAGTAGGGGTATGTGGCACCTATAATTCTTGTATACACTCTTCCACGGGATTTTCACTCTATGAACTGATGTATGGTCAGAAACCTCTATGTCCTCTTACAGTATAAATAATTTTTACTATTATATTTTTAATTATATTTAGTTACAAAACAAAATTGAGGATATATTTGCCTTACCAGAGGTTATGGCGAAAATTACAATAGATGAATGTTTAAAGGAAGAGTTGGATATAAAAATGGCTCATCTCAAGAAAATAACGGAGCTGGCTATTAGTGTTGTTAAACGTCTCGATTTGAGCCGATTTTTAAAAACGGCTAGCTCAATATTTTATTCAGAATAATATTACGCAAGCCTGAAGATTTTGCTCATAGATGCCACAAAAGTATAGACATCAATTAGCGAAATCTCGAGGCTTAGGCAATATTTTTCTGGTTAAAATATTGAGTTAGCTTTTTTTTAAAATCGACTCAAAACGAGCCGTTTAGCAACACTACTGGCTATATAAAATATTGGTATAGACAGCTCAAACAAAAAAATTATAAAAAAAGAACAAATGGTTCAAAATTTTTTGCTATAGGACAAAAGGTTCTTGCATGGAACCATAAAAGATTGGATAGGAAAGGGGGTAACCCCTGGATAGGCCCATATTTGATCAATAAAATATTTGATAAAGGTAATTATATTATGTAAATTATTTTTTATTGTATATCAAGGTGTATATGAATTGATTACATCAAATAATTTATTAAAAACTAAATATAATCTGTCGAATTTAAAAGAATTTATTGTACGAAACAATAAAAATAATGGTGATGATTTTTTTAAAATCTTTTCATGAAGTAAAAAATTTTTAGATACAAAAATTAATAATTAATAACATTATAATTATTTTGTTTTTATTATAATTAATGCATTGCCTTAAGATATTGGTTTCCAAAGTAGGCTTGATGATGAAAATAATCCACATGATGTGGAGTTTGTCGATCCAAAGTCCCCCATAGGTATTGTATTTCGGGTATATAAATGTTTTTATTATAATAAAGCAGCACATTTGGATGAAGATCAAGTGGATCAAGTGGTTCCCAAAATGTTGGGCTTGAAGATAAAAATATTCAGCTTGACATGGATTTTATCAATCCAAAGACTCAAATAGGTTATGTTATTTCTGATATATATATTTGATTTATTTTTTAATTTATTACGTATACAGAATTGGATGATGATATTTTGATAATAAATAAATTAGAAAGAATCCCTAGATATTTTTTTCCTACAACAAAGGCATGGAAAAATATCATGCTAAAATATATGGTCTAAAGCCTCCAAAACGTTGTCGGGATGTATACTATGGGAATGAACCCACCATCCTGGAGAAAATTAAAGGTGATGGGAATTGTCTTTATCGGTAAAACATTAATATAAAGTTTCATAATATTATACTTTATATAATTTAGGGTAATTAGTGTAGAGATCACTGGGGATCAAAATTCCCATATTTTAACATCATTGAAGTTAACGATATAATATAATTTCTCTTGAATATATATAAATTTAAATAAATAGTAGATTA